TTTTGGCTCAGGTCATGATCTCACAGTTTGTAGGTTCAAGCCCTGCATCGGACTCCAAGCTGACAGTGCAGAGCCTGCTTGGGGTTCTCTCTCTCGCTCTCTCTGCCTCTCCCCTGCTCATGCTCTTTCTCTCTCTGCCCCAGCCCCACGCATGTACACACATGTACTCTCTCTCTTTCTCAAAATAAATAAATAAACATTTGAAAACATCATTCAGGGGCACCTGGGTGGCTCAGTCAGTTAAGTGTCTGACTTCAGCTCAGGTCATGATCTCGTAGTTCGTGTCGAGCCCCACGTCGCGCTCTGTGCTAACAGCTCAGAGTCTGGAGTGTGCTTCAGATTCTGTGTCTCCCTCTCTCTCTGCCCCTCCGCAACTCATGCTCTGTCTCTCTCTCTCTCTCTCTCTCTCTCTCTCTCTCTCAAAAATAAATAAACATAGGGGCGCCTGGGTGGCTCAGTCGGTTAAGCACCCGACTTCAGCTCAGGTCACGATCTCACGGTCCGTGAGTTCGAGACCCGCGTCAGGCTCTGGGCTGATGGCTCAGAGCCTGGAGCTTGCTTCCGATTCTGTGTCTCCCCCTCTCTCTGCCCCTCCCCCGTTCATGCTCTGTCTCTCTCTGTCCCAAAAATAAATAAACGTTAAAAAAAAATTTTTTTTTAAATAAATAAACATAAAAAACAAAACAAAACAAAACAAACTTCGGGGCTCCTAGGTGGCTTAGTTGGTTAAGCATTCAACTTAGCTCAGGCCATGATCTCACGATTTGTGAGTTCAAGCCCCGTGTCAGGCTCTGAGCTGTCAGCACAGAGCTCTGACAGCTCAGAGCCTGGAGTCTGCTTCAGATTCTGTCTCCCTCTCTTTCTGACTTTCCTTCACTCATGATTTCTCTCTCTTTCTCTCTCTCTCTGTCTCAAAAATAAACATTAAAATAAAATTTTAAATAAGCTGCTGGCACTTATCCTTAAAAAGAAAAAACCTCATTCATAAAAAAGTAAAAAGCAGATGAAATTAGTTTTAATAATATATTTGGCTAGTTATATCCAAACTATTTATCATTTTAATATATGGCACCAGCCACATTTCAGGGGCTCAATAACCCATGTGTTGGACAGCACAGCTCTAGATGACGAGCTACTGTGAGGGCTGTGAACTGGTGCCAGTGTTGTTGTTAACAGTCTGGGACAAGTTAAGTATAGGAATTAAAAAGAAGCATTTAAAATATTCTACAGCTATTTGATAGTTATTTTATGTCTATTCAATCTAATAAGATTGGCACTTGTATTTCATATGTCTTTTTTCACATTTCACTTTTCTAATGTATTCTTAAAATGTCTTACAAAAGAATCTATTTGTGAAATTAAAAAGAAACTGCCTCTTCATTCTGGGTAGTTTAAGAGGCACTACTGTAGATAGTCTTTCCTAAGATTCCATAGGCCTCTTGTGTACATGGCAAAAATGAAACGAAGAGAACCAGTGATGAGATTGTGGTGGGTGGTGTACTTAGTTCTGCTCCCATCCCTCCAGCCACTACAGAGCAGTGTCCTCCTACTTACGTCTTTCAGAGCTACCATTGGAGCCCATGGCTGGAGTAGGTCAGTGGTTTTCAGGCTCGACTCTAGGATCACCCAGGAGCTTCTAAAAAACAGCAGTGTCCAGGCCCATCTCCAGACCAATTGAATCACAATCTCTCGGGAGGTGGCCTGTGTATCATGTAGTGTAAAGAGCTTTCCGGGTGATTATATTATGCAGCCAGTGTTTATTGTGTGGATCCTTCACCCCAGGGGAAAAAAAAAAAATTTGCTGTTTTCTCCATTTGGAAAGAATCACTAATCTGGGTAGGGGGTTTTCTGTGTGGTGTACTATTCACTCTCTGTAACAGTGAAAAGAGGGCTTTCCAGTTAAATATGTCAGGTTGAACATTGGCATGTTAACTTTACTCACTCCTGGAACCTCGCTAAAATTAAAGGAATAAAAAAGGTATAAGGGGGGCACCTGGGTAGCTCAGTTAGTTGAGCGTCCGACTCTTGGTTTAGACTCAGATCATGATCCCAGGGTCATGGGATCGAGCCCCATGTTGAGAGAAGATTCTCTCTCTCCCTCTCTCTGCCTCACCCCTGCGTGCTGGTGTGTGTGCTCTCTCTTTCAAATAATAATTTAAAAAGAAGGCATAAGGCATAAACCCATAAGAAAGCAAATGAGAGACTGAAGTGTAATAATAAGCCTGATTGATCAACTGGTTTTTAGTAGAAGCAGGTAGCTAGAAATTAACAGAATGGAGAAAACAGATATAAATGGCTGCAAACAAAGATATTAAAAATAAGCAAAGCAATCTATAGTGTTGGCTCAGAAATTAGAGGAACCAGTTAGCTCAGAAGGTAAGGGTGAAATATGAAGCTGAACATAGGAGTGTTGGAAAGTCTGTTTCAGATTCACACATGCCCTCCTTTACCCTTAGCAGTCAGGAGACTACTGCTCTTTTTTACCAGGGTAAAACTAGAGGTTAGAGTTTGGAGAAATTTAATCTAAGAGGTCCAGTCAGGACTGAAGTCGAGTATCTTTTGAAAATAAGGACACCTTTTTAAAAATAAGGACTAAGCAAAAGTCTGAATATTGTGGTTAAAACCCTACTATTCTCCTTGCCCTGTTCTCAGAACATGGCAGTCAGGTGGACATGTCCCAGAGAGGAAATTGGAGTATTTCTCTCCAGGGTAAGCAGCCAGGAGACAAGACTTACAGATCCTGGCATTTGTGGATTTCATAATAAAAAAACAACTCATTGCCTCCTCACCTTGTAGGGAAAGCCAGTCATTTTACAAGTACCCAACCCAACCTCCTGCACCATCACGTAGACAGAGCTTCTGATCAGCGTGTTAGTGGCCGCATCATCTGTGATGGACGGCTGGGACTCATCAGACACTTGTGGAAAGCCTCCAAAATAAAAAACAGAGACCTAAAGATTTAAGGAGAAAAAAGAAAGAAACAGATAAAAACATTTAAAGTGTTAAAAAAAAGAAGAAAACATTTGAAAAATTTGTATCCTCTGAGAAATGAAATATTCATCCAAGAAGCTAGAATAGAATGTTATTAAAAAGAACATTCAGAGAATAAGAAAAACGGTCTTGGAAATTAAAGCTGTGATAGGAAACATTCTAACTGCAGTAGAAGTGTTGCAAAGTGATACACCAAAGAAATCTTCCAGACAGTAGAAAAGAAAAAGAAATGCAATGCTGAAAAGAAAATATATATAATCAGAAGATGAATCTAAGAGGTCTGCTGTCTAACAAAAGGACTTTTAGGAGGGAGGGACGGGGGCAGTGGGAAGGACATGGAAAGGACACGATGAATGTAAAAAAGGCCCAGGCTAAGGATAAAAAGAAGAAACCACAACTTCTCACAAAATAAAAACAGGTCACATAAGAGGAGACCAGGAATTGCTGTGATCATGGACTTTTCACCTATTGCCCCTCTGTATATTAACTGCTATATACCTAGCAGTATGCTTATAATAAAGAATAATCTGAAAGTGTATTTTATGATTTCATAGGCATAAATTCTCTATGTTGGCATCATTATTAGTCCAAGAGCCCTTTCTGTAAGAAACTAGAATGAAGCTATATAAAGTTTATTTTTTATTGTTGTCTTAGCCCTAGTCAACGTCTTGAAAATCCAGCTATTTATCACAAAGAGCATTAGGCACAGTTGTAGAAAGGTCAGCTCTAATGCCTGTCACCACTGTAAGAAAAACATTCCAGCAGGATTGTAAACTATGAAGAGTAAAACATAATGAGATAATAAACATGAACAAAACAAAATTCTGGGGAAAAAAGTACCATACTCATTAAAATAGAAAGAATAGAACTTTTAAATAGAAAATAGAAAGAAAATAGAAAGAAATAGAAATAGAAATAGAAAATAGAAAAATAGAAAATAGAAAGAAAACTTAAAAAAAAAAGTTTCTGCTATCCTTTGGTGACAAAACCACTTGATTTTAAATTTACATTTTTCCATTTCTTCTAATTGTTGACTTTTAGGTTATTGAAGGAGACAGTGTGACTGTCAGTGTTAGAGTCGTAAAATAATTTGTAAAGTGTGATAATCTGCTTTTGATTTTTTTTAAAGGAACAAAAATAAGCCAAATTGCATATTTTTTATTTGTTTTGTTAATTACTGCGGTATCACAGCTTTTTCTATTACTCTGTTATCTCCAGGCTTTTCCAGGATTAAGAATTGGAAAGCTGAAAGACACCTTTCCTTTTAAATCCAAATATTCTCTTTCTTTCCTCCTACTTTCTTTTCTACTCAAACTGCTTCTTCAAGATTGTGGATAAAATTCAATACATTGCAGAATAGGAAGGGAGGATACTGAATTTTTACAAGTGGTTTATCTGTAAGCTGTAGGTTGCCAGATGAGTGGAGTATAGCAGTTGGTAAGTGAAGTCAGGAAGATTAGTACTTAAAGATTTTTGAACTAATTTTAATGTGTTACACAAATGTCCTGATTTCAACTTCAGAGTAGTTGAATACAGATATGTTTCAACAATACAGAACATATCTTCCCTTTGTAGTACTTGAGCCAGTGCCTGAATTAGTTGTAGTAAGGAGACCAAAGTCGGTGTCATAATGACATTGGGTTGATGCGTGGGAAAAAGAAACCAGAGTTTAATTGAGAGGGTTTGTTTCCTTTCCCATGAGATCTGAGTATTCTGTCTGAAAGGAAATGGCGAGTGAGGACTAGCTTGACTAGTGGTGCTGTGAGTGCCATGAAAGGGCCAGAGACCTTACCACTACCAGCATTGTTTGCCTCACCACTTTAGCAGGGCAAGGGAGGGCAGATTCCTGACCCGCATCACTGAAGTTTCCAACGATAAGGGCGGGGGGGGGGGGGGGGGGGGGGGGGGGGGGGGGGGGGGGGATGTGTATGGGAACTGCCTGTTTTGTTCGCACATACCACCTAACTTAGTGTTCTCTCTTCCTATTTTGTCTTTAGATCTTATAATCAATGGATAAAGTGGGGAAGATGTGGAATAACTTCAAATACAGGTGTCAAAATCTCTTCGGTCATGAGGGAGGGAGCCGTAGTGAAAATGTGGACATGAACTCCAACAGATATCTGTCTGTTAAAGAGAGAAACATCAGTATAGGAGACTCAGCTCCTCAGCAACAAAGCAGTCCCTTAAGAGAAAATGTTGCCTTACAACTGGGATTAAGCCCTTCAAAGAATTCTTCAAGGAGAAACCCTAACTGTGCCACTGAAATTCCTCAGATTGTTGAAATAAGCATTGAAAAGGATAATGATTCATGTGTCACCCCAGGAACAAGACTGGCAAGAAGAGATTCCTACTCTCGGCATGCCCCATGGGGTGGGAAGAAAAAACATTCCTGTTCTACAAAGACACAGAGTTCATTGGATACTGATAAAAAGTTTGGTAGAACTCGAAGCGGACTTCAAAGGAGAGAGAGGCGGTATGGCGTAAGCTCGGTGCACGATATGGATGGCATGTCCAGCAGAACTGTGGGAAGTCGCTCTCTGAGACAGAGGTTGCAGGATACGGTGGGCTTGTGTTTTCCCATGCGAACTTACAGCAAGCAGTCAAAACCCCTCTTCTCTAATAAAAGAAAAATACACCTTTCTGAATTAATGCTTGAGAAATGCCCTTTTCCTGCCGGCTCAGATTTAGCCCAAAAATGGCATTTGATTAAACAGCATACAGCCCCTGTGAGCCCACACTCAACATTTTTTGATACATTTGATCCATCCTTGGTTTCTACAGAAGATGAAGAAGATAGACTTCGAGAGAGAAGACGGCTTAGTATTGAAGAGGGGGTTGACCCTCCCCCTAACGCACAAATACATACATTTGAAGCCACCGCACAGGTTAATCCGTTATATAAACTGGGACCAAAGTTAGCTCCTGGAATGACCGAAGTAAGTGGGGACAATACTGCAATTCCACAAGTTAATTGTGACTCAGAAGAGGACACTACTACCCTGTGTCTACAGTCTCGGAGGCAGAAGCAACGTCAGGTGTCTGGAGATAGCCATGCCCACGTTAGCAGACAGGGAGCTTGGAAAGTCCATACACAGATTGATTACATACACTGCCTCGTGCCTGATTTGCTTCAGATTACAGGGAATCCCTGTTACTGGGGAGTGATGGACCGTTACGAAGCAGAAGCCCTCCTTGAAGGAAAACCTGAAGGCACATTCTTGCTCAGGGACTCTGCGCAAGAGGACTACCTCTTCTCCGTGAGCTTCCGGCGCTACAACAGGTCCCTGCACGCCCGGATTGAACAGTGGAACCACAACTTTAGTTTTGATGCCCATGACCCATGTGTATTTCACTCCTCCACTGTAACAGGACTCTTAGAACATTATAAAGATCCCAGTTCTTGCATGTTTTTTGAACCATTGCTTACTATCTCACTAAACAGGACTTTCCCTTTTAGCCTGCAGTATATCTGCCGTGCAGTAATCTGTAGATGCACTACATATGATGGAATTGATGGGCTCCCTTTACCGTCAATGTTGCAGGATTTTTTGAAAGAGTATCATTATAAGCAAAAAGTTAGGGTTCGCTGGTTAGAACGAGAACCGGTCAAGGCAAAGTAAACTCTCCTGCCCCCAAAGGGCATTAACTAGATCTGCTTTTATGTGCATCAGACAGTACACCTATAGCAAGCACATGTATCAGTGTTAGGTTTTTTCAGTACAGTATGTAGGCTTAGTGTTAGTATCTGTCAGATGCAGTCTGCTGTTAGTCAGGTAAACGTGGTGCCTGTTGAGACAACAGAAGACAGCTACAGGTGTTCAGTGAGGCTACAAAAACACTTTGTCGATTGAGCTAACGGTTTGGTTTTTAATGACTGTAGTAATTGAGTGAGGCAACTCTGGGGCATTTGCTATGAAGAATTTTATTTCTTACTGAAGAACAAATTATTAATATTGGATGAGTATTTCAACAGTGTGACTAATGTTTGAAATTGTTATTTTTTCTAAGAATTTTTCTATAACCTTCCAAAAGTAGTGATGTTTGTAGTTACTATAAATCAAGCTTTGGAAGTCCAAAAAATAAAGACTGCCTTCCTTTGAGAAAAAAAAAATGCAGTTTTCTGGCCACAAGGGCATAGTGCAGTTCACTTAAGTGTTGATGTAGTTTATAGTCAGTCCCCTGTCTCTTCTGCAAAAGGTACTGTTAAATAAACCAGGTTTTCTAAATAGTTCTTAAAATTTCAGGCTTACAAAGTTGGTAGTAGAATTTTATTTAAAGGCCTTAGGTATTTTTTTTTAATGAGTGCTTTAACTTAAAACACATTGGGAATAGCTGCAGTGTAGTCCTGTGTGTGATTTTTTTTTAAGTTAATGCACGCATTCTAATCATTCATTAGTTAAAGTTGGATCTTTCTGTGCCCATGATGAGTTTGTGAACCATGAAGGAAATGAGACTAGAAGATGCCCAACCAAGTCAGATAATAATAGCTACAGTGGTTGCTGATGTTGACATTATTGTTAAACTGTAATGAACAGTTTGGATGGCAGTATTTATATCTTTGTTGTAAACTCTCGTAGCTGAATTGCTTAAGTACAATTTATAGAATTTCAGTGCAGTTAATTTCTAATGGAAAATCTGAAACCTACATTGCAGATTTAAAAGGTACTGTACAACCATTGTATCTGTAAATAACTTTACTTAGCACCTTTTTGTCACTTAGAATAGTATGCAATACTACTTGAGTGAGCTATTTTGGAAGTAATACCAAGTTCTAGTGTTTGCTTCTTAGTAACGAACTGAATTTACAGTTCTGTCCTAGACATTTTGCACTAGTCGAATCCATTCTTGTGTCTTTTTGTTCATGTGCTCTGTACCACTGGTGAGTGCTCCTTGGTTTCCTTACCTGCTGCTACAGAAAGTTCTTTTACATCCTGATGGCTATTGCCAAGGCTACAAAAAAAGAAAAGCTATATTTGTATGCAACACTAACCCTTTGACTGCTAATGTACGTTTCTGCTTGCTGTGCCTTGTTATGGCTGCTTTTTTGTGCTAATAAAGTACGTTTGGTGTTCTCCTTGTATATCTGCTGTTTTATACATTTGCAACAATTTCTCTTATAAATGCAATGGTATTGGGGTTTTTAAACAAGCATTACCTGACAACCTACTATAGTTAATGCAGAATTACTGTACAGTCTAATATTGACTTATTCTGAGTAAGCAGATTCTAAATTTAATGCTATTCATCTTTCCAATCATAATCACATACACTGTGGAGCAGTATCTATAGTTACTGCACATTACTGTACAGTTTAGATTATAACACAAAATGAACAGAGAAATATTGACTAACCTATTGATTTCTCTGCTTATAAATGAAAGATTGAAGCTATCAATGATGGTTATAATAAATGAAGATCTTTAGTCTCCCACTTTATCAGAAACAAATGAAGTCTTGTGAACTAAGAATATATCAGTGCCATTTATTGGTTTGGGGACCATTTTTATTAGTCATAAATGCCCAAAATGTAGAACTTTAACCAAAGACTTGTCCATTTTTAAAGCAAAATGGGGATTGAGGGGACTTATAATTCCTGTTATTTCTAATAGAAGTCCCTGAAGAACATATACCAAAGTGTTCGAGAACGTCATCCAAACCTACTTTAAAGCATTATGTGCAATTAAGTTGTTACAACATAATTATATTGCATAACTGTTGGGTCCGTTTTCTTGAGCTTATAATGTATCTGGAAAATAATCTCTTGGAAAAGAAAAAAGTCCTTACTGATTATTGGAGAAAGATTATATATGCAAGCAAGATCTTGTTTTAAAGAGGAAACTTGAAACTCCAAGAAAACACTTGATGTTTTATATGCTTGTAGCAAATTGATGTTCTAATTGTAGTTTTATAGAAAATATTAATGCTTTTATGTATTTCAGAACTTTCATATGTTAAATGGAAATTGTTTTAAATGTGTAAATATTTGAGTTTTATGTGAGCATGTATACACTGTGCTAAAAGTCACATGTTCCAGTTTGTGTGTAATATTAATATGCAACCTTTCGTTTAAAATTTTTTTCTTAAAAAATTAGTGGCTTACATTTTAAAAAAGAAAAATCACCAGCATGAAATTGCACCTTAGTCTATATTCACTGTGTCTTTTTCTGAATCCCACTGTAGCCTGTCAACTAAATTTTTGTTTTCATGGTCTTTTTGAAGTGCATTTTAATACAAACCAGGAAATTCTTTAGAAGTTTGGACACATCTTCATAGTAAAGTAATTAACCCAAGGAAAGGTTGGTCTGATTCCTATCCATTCTCATTCATTCATTCATTCATTCATTCTCTCTGTGTATGCATATACATATACACACATACACACGTGGATGTATACACATACGTATATACATTTATGATGTTAATATTACTTTAAACAATAATATTGCCATCTGATTTAACATCATTTAGAGGCCTTATTCTTGTGTATATATATATATATATACACACATACTATGTATGTGTGTATATATATATATATATATACACACATACTATGTATGTGTGTATATATATATACACATACTATCCTTGTACCATTCAAATTTGATTATCCACACCTAAAGTTTAGTCTTGCTGATACAGTCTTATTTGTAATACAGTCCCCTTACAACAAGAAAAAGCATGCATCAGTTATTTTCTGGCTAAACACAGTAAAAAATTTTTGAAAAAGAAACAGCTTGGTTTAAATACAGTTATTAAGAGTCATTATTAAATTTATATTTCTTCAACAAAAATTGAGCCCAAATAATCCTACTCCACAAACTGTTCTGTGTTCTTATGGTCCATTGGAATGTTTATATAAGATTTATAATGGCTTGAGCCATAAAAATTGAAACTTGAATTCTGTGCTTCACTTTGACAAAATTCAGAGTTTATGAACCTTTTTACTTGATGTTTTGATCTGGTTGCTATTCATTTTTATCCCAAGCTTCCTTTGCTCCCTGGCACTAAACACTAGTTTGGTAACTTATTATTGAGACTGGTCTTAGATCTTTTATTTTTGTAGCAAAGAAAGCTATAAAGTTGCTTTTTGGTAGAGGCCCAGAGGCTGTGAGTGAGTCAGCACTCCCCTAGGAAAGAGGCAGAGCCTGTGTCCATCTCTGGGAGTGTGTTAACACAGGGAAGCTCACACCAGTTTCTCCACTGTTTCTGTGGCCCAACACATGCACTTTACCTAGATGAAATTAAATAAGAATGCACACCAAGGGCTGGCTTAAAGGTGAAAAAAAGTCTCCTAAGGGGACAATACTGCATGGTGTGTGTATGCATAAACAGTGTATATCTATGAGGCTCAGGTTTTGTTTCCTATTTTTGCAACAGCTGATACCGAACATAGACTTCTAAAATGTGGTATGTTCTGAGGAGATTTGGGTTGGCATTTTTGTGGAAAGTGCCTGGTTGTTGTGTTTTGTTGTTGTTTTGAAGTTGGGGGTGGAATGGAGAAGTTGCTGTTGCAAAGTATGGATCAGTTGGAACAACTGTTTTATGCCCAGGAGGCTTGATTGAATATTTAGATTCTTTTCAGCCAGTCATTCAACAATTATTTATTGAAGACTCATGTGCCAGTCACCATTTTAGGTGATTGTTATACATTGGGGTACAAGACAAATCTGTAGGATCACTGGGAAATAGTGACCTTGGATGACAAAAAGAAAATAACCGAGATCAAAGAAGAGAGCATTTTGATGAAAGAAACAATGAAACTAAAAATCTGGAAGCAGGAATGAGCTTATATGATGAGAAAGAGAATGGCTATAAGACCAGAGTCCAGTGAGTGTGGTGGGGAATGGCAGGTGATAAAGATTGGCAAGGGCTGGACTGCTTCAGACTGTGAGCGCATTGAAAGGAATTTATATTTTCTGAATGTGATGGTAAGCCATTGGAGGGTTTTAAGCAACAGAGTGACGTGGTCTGCTTTCTATTTCTCTAGTAGATTGAGAACAGCCTATAGTGGGGTAAAATAAAGGAGACCATTGAAGCCATCTAGGTGAGAGATGGTGAAAGCCTGGACTGGGGTGGTATAGGGAGAAGTCAGATTGAGGTTGTCTCTTTTGGTGGTAAAGCTGATAATCTGGTAATGGATCATATGGGAGGAAGAAAGAAATAAAAAATGACTGATTTTTTATTTTTTTTAAGTTTTTATTTTTTTTTAATTTTTCTAATGTTTATTTATTCTTGAAACAGAGACAGAGCACTAACAGGGGAGGGGCAGAGAGAGAGGGAGACACAGAATCTGAAACAGGCTCCAGGCTCTGAGCTGTCAGCACAGAGCCTGATGCGGGGCTCGAACCCACGAACTGTGAGATCGTGACCTGAGCCGAAGTCGGACGCTCAACCGACTGAGCCACCCAGGCGCCCCAAAAAATGATTGATTTTGAGCAAAGGCGGTGATGCCATTAGTTGAGATTTCAGAAAACCAGTGGAGGAGCAAAATGGAGGGTGTAAATTGAATTCTCCCTTGGATATGTTGAGTTTTGAGATTTCTATTAGTTACCCCAACAGAGACATTGAGCAGGCAGTTGTATATATGAACGTAGAATTAGGGGAAGAAATAGGGGAG